TTAGGAATTATATACAGTTAATGTGGAACTCCCATCCACACCTCATCAAACCTCCAAGCGCATAAATCAATTTTAAAGTGAAGTAATAATTACATCGACAGTAGTGTACAATGTACTTATTCTTAAAAATATATGCATGAAACACTTTGAAAAGAAACAATATATTAAGCTGCCAAGAAATTATTTACAAGTTTCCTTTAAATGACCATCCGACATTTTTGATAGAAAAATTATTAGTCATCAGTAGTTTTTATGTCTTAATGTACAAGTTCTTTGTTTCTTTTAATCGAGCGAGAATATCAAATATCTTAGTGTTAAATTGTACGGTACACATGTTCCAAATTAACATAATCTGTTTTCAGAATCCGTATATACACCCCCCCCCCGGTCGAAATTACTAGATCTGCCTATGTAAGAGAACAAATTCATCTTCATGGTATATGTTGAAAATTTAAGATCTTGAAAGAAGACGATAATTATAAAAAAAAATCTATATTAAGAGTTTATATACTAAGTATATTATAAAATTTATTTGAATGATTGGAAACTTAATTCGTAGCACGCGACGTCAAAATACGTTCTTACTGAATAACGACGATACCGATTTGAAACTTTGACCTTAAGGTCATATGCAACATACTTTGAACTTTACTGAGCTCTTCCCTGGAGTTGAATTCTATTATGATGGAGATGTGTGCAATTCTTTAAATGTTTATATAATTATGGATTTGCACACCTCTTCTAAAACAAATTTTGAAAAAAAAATCTGTAAATTGTGTTTTGTAATTTTTGTATACTTTTCTTTGAATAATGCAAAAATTTTCGTAATTTGTTATCTTTCTAAAACCCTGGTAATGCATGCTGATTTTTGTCTATAAATATCTTTAATAATTATATGCAGGTAAGGTACCTTGCGTATGTCCTTAAGGACCCTTTTTTCATAAAAGCAGTCAAATGATTAAATATTTTATCTTCATTATTCTTTACGCCTTCTTCCTTTCTCTCTCTCTCGACTGTGATCAAACGTAAACATTGTACTACACGTATATGTCCATACATAACAACTTCCATGTACCGACGTACCGGGAGTGGACTGCTACTTATTCTGTGTATTATAAAAATATGATTTTTTTTAAAATTAGTAGGATATATAATGGTTGTACGAATATTTACAATGGTTACTGGTTAATTATAGATAAAGGATCCTTTTAATTAATCAGATTTATTGTAAATACTCTCTAAAAGCTAACTTTATGAATCGCACAGGTTTGATTTTTTCAATATCTCGTCTTCACGTACTTCGAATTCTAAGGGATATGATCAGATCGCTGTGGCATATAGACAGCATAAATTAAGGAATCCCTGTCTAGTTAGTATAGTATGCCATGGCATCAACAATAGTGGGGAACATGGGATAATTTGCATAACGGGCGAAGCCCAATATGCATAAATTAAGCCTCCTTAGCTCCTGACCTATTGACCTGCCTAACTTACATTCCGGTATAATTACCAAGGAATTAACTCCGCTAAGTTTCAAAGAGTTATCACAGAGAGAAAAATTAGTAATGGAAATATTAAAGCATAACCCCCCCCCCCTGCCTTCTCTTCAACACCACATTAAACATTTCGTTTTCATGAAGCGAGGCATTTATTGATATTTTTAGATTCCTTCCAGTATCTCTACCCTTCAGAAATCTCAGACTGTCGAAGCTTAATTTTTTAATTTTATTATTGTTGATAGCCCTCCTGTGATCATAAAAAATTTCGACTATTTATGCTTCAATTTGGTTTGCAAGATAATTTGGTCCAACGCACTTTGTGCAGATGTCACCTAAATTTGTCCGAGAGTTTTTAAAGACAAATCTTTTTTTGCAGTTGCGGTAAAAAGAATAGTAAGAACAAATTCAGAACTAAGCACTGCATTTTGTCCAGGCAATAAATATACTGTTTTCACAATGGATGGGACTGTAGCTCTCCAGTCTGTCAAAATATTTTTTCGGAGAACTACCGTTCTGCAGTTAGCATTTGCCACACTACTATTACAAGGCACATTGTAGGAATCTCATGCATATATATGGATATATCTACCATCCTTAGCTATGCAAATAACAGCTTAGAAATAAAATGGTAAAACACTGTAAGCTTTAACTTTCTAACCCCAACCCCGCTCTTATCCCCCTCCCCCACAAAAAAAAATGCATGACAACTTTCAATTCTGGTGAAATGTATATTTACAGGAAATTCTTTAATTAAATATGCTAATTATACTTAAGCATACTTATCTAAATGAGTATTATTTTGTCACTAAATCAAGAATTATGTTTAAGCTCAAGAAAATCAACCCTACTGCAGAATTCAAACATAATATAAACAATATTATTTCGAATTATTGGCTTGAGTCCTCCACTTTTTTGCAAAGATATACATTATGTGGGCATTGAAAATAGGGTTTACGGTTTTATTGGGGATTAGCCTCATTTCAATATTAGCCCCCCCCCCCCCCCCCCCCCCCCCCCCTGCCTGTTTAATTTGCTTTTGACGCCTATGAATTATGCTGAATGTATCGCGACTGCTTATCAACAAACTGCAATACTGCGTGGTTTATAACGTGCAAACTGCCCCAAGTTATGTAAGAATGATCGAATTATTCGAATAACATAAGTTTAAATAACCTTCATTCTTTAAAAAATTATAGGCTCGATTAAGAAACTTAATTTACATGCGTAAGTACTACGTCAATCGTACATCTATAATCCTGATGTTCCATAAACACGAATGTTTGTCAGACTGTCTGATGATCATACCCTAGTAACGTACATTTAAAAAAAACACGGACTTAAAAATAAGAAATGGAATATCTAAAGGTAATGTTTGTTTCAGAAAAGGTCACGTGACATGTTTTTCACTATACTACCGGGGACACGTGTGTAACCCCCAAGTACGAACCTTTGCTTATTATGAAAAGTTCACACAAACACACATCTTTTAATCCTAACTAACCGGGGACATTTTTTCAACATGTTAAAAAATGGATTTTTTCGCCTTTTTGGGGTAATTAGACATCCCTGATTTCGAATTTGGCGCTATTTTTAATCGGAGACAACCGGGGACGTCCCCGGTTGGAAGGTCGTCCCCGGTTGGAAGGTGTGTAAACAAACAAATGTCCCCGTTTGATACCCTTCACGCACACACCCTCACACACACACACACACACACACACACACACACACTGTTGTCAAGAAAGCTTTAAAGTCGTCTTCAGAAAATTTTAACTTTAGTATCCAAACGTTAAGCTTAATGGATCGAGCCTGAGTTAATTAAAATGTTTGTATATGAAGAACGCTATTCAATTTTAACAACCATGTTATTAGGTACATACATGGAATTCTATTGTATTACAATAAAAGAACCAAAAATTCTGGAAATGACTTCCCAACGTTCATCATTTGCTTAGCAAACACAACATTTCATAATTTTCTTTCTTATCTGTATATCCTTTTGTTCTTCGATTCTGCATCATTCCAATCATCATCTGAGAATGATTCCAGTTTTTGTTCTTCATGGCTAAGAATCGCTGCCAGAATTTCTTTAAAATCAACATTAACTATATTGTTTTGTCAGTGTTTAATGTGTTGTAGACGCTTCATGAAATACAGATTGGGAGCAAAAGCAGGCACGGACTTATAAAAACATAAGAGGTGGAATCAGGTGCCATGGGAGAGTAAACACCTCCTGTCGCCGTGAGCTCCTTGTCATGATCGTGGAAACGAAAAAAAAAAAGAATAGACAATTCAATGTAAAAATAATAACATAGTTTGCATGAAAAATCTTAGTTAACATTCGACTCTACGATACATTTTTATTTGCTATCAAGGTCATTATAGACGTATCGACCATAGAACTTGCAAAATGATGGCTTTAAGCGATGCTTTTCATCACTGTATTATCAACTTATTTCTGAATGGTTTACCTCGTTTTACAATTGTTCATATATAGAGCATGATCTTCCATTTCGAATTAATTGGGAGACGTAAACTCGATATGCAGACGACAATGGCGCATTGCTACACAAATAATGATAAGTTGAAGATAAATAATCCGAAGCAATAACAATTATTATTTAGTTTTTTTCCTTAGACTGCCATTGAATCTTCAATTGAAAAAATATCCAAATAGGTGTACAAGACTTTGTGGTATACTTTAAACCATGTTTCGAGAAATAATAGAGTAAACTATTACTAGTAACTGTTTAATGTAGGAATACAAACACGTGTATTGTTAAAACGTCGTCGATATATCTAATGTTGATTTGATATCCACAACAAGAAACTTTTTTTTTCCAATTTGAAGTTTTTAAAAAAAGTTTTGCTTCATAAAAATACAAAATATTATTGCTTATAACGTGTCAGATTTAGAACTCAAGGAAATTACAGCAAATTGTTGGAATACTTAATTTAAAATAATCAGGAACTTCATAGAAATTTTCAATAAAAAATTGAAGCATCTGTTTGATAACTTCAGAGTACTTGTATGTACAACCAAAATGATTTTTTAACAAATAATTTTGCAAATGAACAATAACAAAAAAAAAAAAATTTTTTTTACAAATTCCAATTTTAATAAAAACAGCTTTACAAAATGTATAAATGCCTGAATTTTACTAGTAATCTATTGTCAGGAATGGTTAAATGTAGAAAAGTCGTATAGAAAATTCGTACGTGTTATTAAAGTGTGATTAAAGTTTTAAAAAGTTCCATGGATTTTTTAAGTATCCACTTCTCGATGATATATTGTTATATAGTGCCAGATAATTTTATCCTTCACTTTGTTCATACTTTGGCGAGATTTGGTAGAACCCGCACTTAGCTAGGATATTTGTTTTAAAATATACACAAAAACAGCCTGCTTCAAACACATCGCTGTCATACTTTGAAAATTTGTTAACTCAGTAAAATCAGGTTCCTTATATAAGCATGTATCTGGCATAAAACAGAAATGGATTAAACAGAAATTTTTTTAATACAAATGTAGCCCTGTAAACCATTAATTGATAAAAATAAAACATTTTAATTTGTACATATAATAAACCTGCTACTGTATTCATATCAAACATAATCTGTTCAAATCTTATACGTGAAAAGAAGAAAACATATACTCGCTATGGCCTTCAACTCGACATTTAGATATATCGACGACATGTTGTCAATTAACACAGGTTATTTCCATTCCTATGTCGAAATGATATATCCCGGTAAGCTTGAAATGAAAGATACCACTCAGTCTGACGCATCTGTTCCATATTTTGGATATTTTACTATGGACAAAGATGTTAATGGTAATTTAACAACCAAGCTTTGTGATGGACATGATGACTCTTCAACTTCCCTTACTTATGCAACAATCTACGTATGAACAATTTTTAAAACGAGGTAAATTGTTGAAAACAAGTTGATGAAAACAAGAATATCAGCAGGCTTGTTGAGAGTCAAAATTTCGTAAATTCTATGGTCGATACAATGACCTTGTCAGCAAATACAATTTATCATTGAGTCAAATGCTGACTGGCGTTTTTCATACGGGTTTTTAGCCATTATTTACACACCAATGTCAACGGATTTTTCGTCATTTCCCAATCATAATTAGCTAGGAGTACACAGCGGTTGTGACAGGTCGGTAGGAAATCCTCACTCCTCCATGTCACCTGATCCCACTCTGATTTTTAGAGGTCTGTGTTTGTTCTGCTCCAATTAATTTGTATTGTTTAAAAGATTTTGAGCTTAAATACTGTTCGTAATCTCCATATATTTCATAGAAGAAGATATAATGAAATGAATTGACCTATATGAAAAAAAGTTATTAGGTCATCTTTGCCTCTCCCGACCGAGTTGCTTAAGAACCGATCTTACTCTTTAAAAAAAAACAGATATCGCCATTTTTCGTTTGTTAACGGAAGCGATTCACCGAAAGTAAAAAAAAAAAAAAACGAGACTTACAGCCCCTATATTATTAATTCCAGGAAATAGATTTCGAAATGTCAAAACCGATGTTAAAATTTTCGGAGGGGGTCCCACCTTCCTACCGATAATTTTTTTCCATCTTGAGTCGAGAGAGGGCAATAAAACATTGATTAATAGTTAGCCTTTATACTTGGGACTAAACTGTTTATGTCAACAACATTAGTGTTTGGAACTGTAAATAGGTCTACTAGAGTAAACAAAATGTGTAGAGTTATAACAGACATTAATTAAGCAATTAATTGCAAATATTTGACATATGGCATTGTAATCAAATATCATTTAGCAAAACCAGCATTATCGGCGATCAATATAGAATGATTTGAAATGTTTTGTGTATTATACACCCAGTGGCAGACTATACTACTGAGTATGCATAAACAAAGTTAAAGTTCGGTCAGAATTGATGAAATATATTAGTAGACACATACATAAGCATGTAAGATATTAGTTAAATTTCATATTCTAAACTTAAATTATAAGAAATATATTAATCAAAATATGATAAAATCTTGATGACAGTAAAAATTGTCATGAAATGAACTATAGATGAAGTTTCTTAATTTTACATTAAATAATGATTTCATGTCTATAATAATCCATCAAGAGCTTTTATTTCAGTCAAATCTTACGACTTCAAGTCCTTTTTGAATCCCCGTCATTTTTTTTCTTTGTAAAACGAGAAAAAGACCCAGCTTTATTAGCAATAGAATCAAAACGCCTTTTAGAGTATCCTCCGAACCTGGCAGATCCATGAGCAATCGAATCCATGCCATATCTTTTATACAACCCCCCAAAGTAACCTGAAATATGACCGACTGAGTCAAAGGGTCTGCGCTTTGAAAAAACTCCAAATCTTCCTGAATGTGCAATGGAGTCAAACGACCTTTTTGCCCTTGATAATGGCTTTTCATTTTTAACAATGGAAGAATCTATAGATCGTTTAGAGAAACGTCCAAAGTGGCCCGACCCATGTGCAATGGAATCGAAAGATTTCTTCGAAAAACCTCCAAATCCTCCATGTTGATTATAAATGGAATCCAATGTCCTTTTAGAGAAACCTCCAAAAGACCCCGTGTCGTGTGCGATGGAATCGAATGTCTTCTTCTTAGCAAACAAGCCGTGTGTTCCATATCGGTAGTTGTTATACATATACGGAATTCTTTTCGCATTAAATTTACCAAAATGCCCTCCTTGGTAGGCTATTGAATCAAAAGGGAACCTTTTTCTGAAACGATGGAATGAATTTCCTTTGTAGCCTATGGAATCAAACGATCTTTTCTTGTTGAACCGATTAAAGGAAGACCCATACGCTATTGAATCGAACCTCTTTTTGTCAGCTGCCTTAGAATCGTCAGTACTGAGGAGTTTAAAATACACAGGGTGATCTCCCCTTTGAGATTCATTGGAAGATTCTTCAGCCCCAGCTTCACTCATCAAATCAGAATCAAAACAAATAGCCATGGAACCATACTTTTTAGGTAATGGAACACATACTGAACCGTCAGTCTACAAAAAAAGATCAGAAAAAATAATCAATGTGAATAAACTGGAATATAGTTCCACACAGTTCAGTAAAGACATTGTCTAGTTAATTAGATATCTGTGACTAGTGTTGTATTATCAACTTTACAGGGGCGAAAGCATTTAATCATTAATAGTTCTTATACAAAGTTTACTGGGGATAAAGTTAATTAGTTTAATTAAAACTAAAGTAAATATCATATCGCGTCAGCCCATTTCCTTTCTAAGGCCACGTATGACCAGGCGATTTGTTAAATAAATGCTGAAACTATCCTTTCAATTTTCTTTTTTTTTATAAGAACGTGACACGAATTCTAATTCTGATTTCAATTTTTTTTTACGTTGAATTCAGATATATCTACGTTTTCTCAATAAAAGATAAAAGTTATTTTCATTGAATTCGTATTTCGACTCAATATATACTACAGTATCACAGTGAATTGAAAGACATCACAGAGACTGCCACATCTATTTCATATTTGGATGTGCTACTGACTATAGACGATAAAGGCCAATGAACAACTAAATTATATGGCAAACGAGATGATTTCAGCTCTTTCCTCGTCAACTTTCCTTATTTATGCATGAGTATTCTACTATCACCTGCTTGCGGTGTTTAATTCTCCTAATTCTTTCGCTACTCAAGAGCTTGCTCTGAGTAGGACCAATATTTAAACCAAGCAAACACGGGCCTCTAAAACTTCAGTGGTTGGATCGGGTACCATGAAGCTATCCCTGTCGACAGATCACAACCGCTGAGTGTTCCTTGTCATGATCGGTAAAAATGAGCAGATAATTCAGTGTGTAAACAATGGTTTTACAGTTAGTATGAAAAGCATTTGACTGAATGATATATTGTTTTTGTGGACAAAGGTCATTGTATCAACCATAAAATTCGTGAAATGATGACTTTAAACGAAACTGTTGCTTTTCTTGTTTCATATACCCGTTTGTCAGTAGCTTGCATCGTTTAAAAAAATTTCACACGTAGAGCATGCTCTTGCGTATCGAATTTACTGAGAGACACAGACCACATAAGCAGGTGATATTGATAACCTAAGGACAGTTTACAATTGAAGTCGCGATAGTTATTGATATTGGGTGATGCATGTCTTAGAGCACAGTGGCTTCTTCATTAATGTTGCTGTTCACAAACAGAATAATAATATAAAAGAAAATATTTTGAAATCTTCTCAAAAATGAAAACCATGTTTAGTAATATTTTTTTTATGGAATCAGACTTTAGAAGTGTAGAATCAAATATATTCAAATTGTAACCCCGGGAATGAGTAGAGGCCTCAACGGGCGATCAATATTTTTTATAACAAAATTTTTCTCAAGAAAATCAAAGTCATGGTTGGTCACTGGTTATACAGATTGAAAGATAACGAAACTCCCAAACACATTGCGCAAATGAACTACAGCATTCGATCAATGAAAGCAATAGGTTTAATGGTTTCAAATCAATCGATCATTCACGTTTAAAATGTACAGTTTTATAAATCTCTATGAAGATGGTCTCAATCTAAACAATTTCTGTGATATCTGCTTCTGGGGTTAATTTTATCTCAATAAGTAAGAACATAGTGACGATCTTAGCTTCCAACAAGCCCTTCCCCAAAGACCAACACAAAATACGATCTTCAGGAGGGAAACGATGTACTAAATGGTCAAAATGGCTATAGCGTCCCTCCAGAGAGTACGCAGGAATCTAATAAAAGTATACTAAGGATCGTCAAAAACAGGAGAGAGAGAGAGAGAGAGAGAGAGAGAGAGAGAGAGAGAGAGAGAGAGATTTAACTTTGATGTCTAAGAAGACAAATGTGCTGTAAACTATGACAAAACTTAATTTTCCAGGAAGGGGGGCATTAATTCAGTTTTATTTCAATTTGTTTCAAAACCACGTGCTTAGATTATTTTATTTTTTCCCGCAAAAAGTCAGAAAATGACTTAAAGAGAGTTTCTATCTGACACTTATTAAAAGTAATTTGACCAGAGTGGAAAACATTCGCTTTAATTTTGCATCAAGTTCATGTAAATGAATAGTTATAAGACAACAGCTTTCTTGTTAACAAATTAAGTAACTAAAAGATCACGATCTCAAGACAATCCTTGAGAAGTTATTGTAATGCAAGCAATAAACTGCAAATGCAGGATAAAAATTCAAAAAATTAAACCAGTCATAAAATAAAACACCAAAGGAGATTATACAATCTTTTGAAGATTCTTAAAAATTCTATCCGATTACTTTTTCCCCATAATTTTAAAATTTGAAGAAGAAGGAAATTTTATTCTCAAGACTTTTCTCTCACATCAATTTGATTTTCGATCAAAAATATATATCATGAAGACTGATTTCTATGATAAAATATTTATAATTCGATGAAGCATAAACTTCAAATAAAAGTTTTCTTAGAAGTATCTCGATAGCGATCTGGAAATGAATACACTTCGCTAGCTCCCAGAAGAAGATTTCATTTGTCTTGTCTGAAAGCCCTTAAACCTTTTTATTTTAATCTTGTAGGCTTTTCTCCAAAAGACAATAAATCCGGGCCGCTGCTCCGGTGTCATATGACTAAATTTTAATACCATCGCAAAAACAAATGAAAAGGATCGTGCTCACACGTAATGGACAAGTTTTATAAAGCCTAACACGGATCGTATTAAGAAAAGCCTTTTCAGAACCTTTCGTCAGTCATCACGTTAAACAAAGAGCTCTTATAACAAGAAAACATTGTTGTTCTTACAGAAATTGCAAACAGAGATAAAATGCTGTATGCATATTGATATTGATGTAATAAGTAATTCCATCTTACTGTAAAATAAAAACTTATTTATTACTAAGTGGCGTGTCTATTTGGATAGTGACAGAAGATGAAAATTGGATTGCCATCAATCTTATTTAGAATACTCAGTACATTGAAGGGTATGAAAATGATATGACAACTTTTATGTGCAGTATTTTTGGTAATATTGATTTATTATTAGGCACATGCACATTAAATTACAGGAAAGTGAATAATATTAAAACAATGTATTTTATATAGAAACAAGAACAGAATAACAACTTAAATAAAATGGAATAATGGTCCAAAGAAAAAATTAATACATTTTAGTTTTAAAAATTGATTTTTGTAACTTTTATGTTTCTGAAAATGGCTGCCACACCCCAGGTTAAAAAAAAAAAGACAAATTTAAATTAGGAAATTCACAGTTTCTTTGTATACTCTATAATTTACTCTATAAAACTCTCCATTCCTTCCTATTGTATGCATTTTAAGTTCTGATTTAAAAAGAAACGTGTTATAAAGGAAAGAAATTTTTCATGATTAAGGAACTTGTAATTAGAACTAGCACATTTCTTCCTTGTAAGATCACGATATATCAAAACGCTTTTCCCAGAAGGGTAGAGTAATTAGTTGATTTAAAATCATTTCATATACCAATATTGTAAGAGAGAGTTACTCAGGAATATTAATGGAAAACTATTGTGACTCTCTGCGATCGTAGAAAACGTCACTTCCTGTCGCTTATGGCATTAAGCAGGTTCTAGAGAACGGATGTCATTAGTGTTACTTATGGTTCAGCACGTTGACGAATGATTATTTGATATTGAACTGAAAATATGTCGAAACATTTTAAGGCTCCATTACTAGAGGTTTTCCAAAAAATGAAAAGTAAAGATACATTAAGAATATAAAAGTATGAAATCAGTTTAAATATACTGTAAAACACGTTTTATTCACGAGAATTTAATTTTCGCGTAATTACGCGAGACAATGAGCTCGCAAAAATTTAATTCTCGCGTTTAAAAGTATTCCTTACGATTAAGAAAAACAACAATTCTTGAAAATGATGTCTCGCTAATAATGAGTCAATGACCATCTCGCGAAAATAAGGTGTCGCGAAAATTTAGTGATCTACAGTATTTACGGATTTTCAATTGGCTGTAAAATATTTATATTTTGTAACTAATGTAGAGAAAACTAACAGTATTCAAGTTCAAAAGTCCTTTCAAATGATACAATTCTGAAAGAGAGCAAACATTTAGCCCCCCTGTAACATAAAGGTGAAATCAGAGGCCATGGAGGAGCGAGCGTCCCCTGCCGACCGGTCACATCCACCGTGTGCTTCTTGTAACGATCGGGAAATAATCGTAGACAATTCACTGTGTAAATAATGTTCTGACAATAAGTATGAAAAACGCCAGCCAGATTTCGATAATGGACTCTATTTGCTTACACAGTCATTGTATCGACCATAAAACTTGCGAAATGATGAAATGATGACTTTAAAACGACATTGTTGATATCCTTGTTTCATCAACTTGTTTGTCATGTACTTGTCAGTTATTTACCTCGTTTGTACGTAGAGCATGATTGAATCAACTGAAAAATGTAAACCCGTGAACTGTACAGAAATCTACTAAGATTTATATTGCATGCACTTTAACTTTTTATTAAAAAGTATCTCTTAAATTACCGGTAGATAGATTTCTTATTTGCAAAATGGAAAACTCTTAAATGTAATGAGATACATCATCTCTTTACTTGAACAGATGTCTCTATAATTTATAGAGAGATATCATTTTAACATTATCAACTGATCATATCGTGCATACTCGAGCATTGATCAAGTGTTCGACCGCACAATTTCAACTGATAGAGTAGTTGAAAGTAAGGAAAATTTGAATGCTAGAAAATAATGTAAAATTCATATAAAAATGTCTGAAACAAACTTTTGAGACTGAAAGATATGCAACTAATCTGAATTGACCTAAACACATTTTTTTTCAAACTCATATACATAAAAAAATCAGAAATTAAAAACCAGCTATTATTGTAAAAGAAATACTTCAGGGCTTTGATGAACAAAAAAGCAATTAAGTTTTTCTTCTGGTTGTTATCTGGCTCTGATGAGATGACAATATCAGATAAATCATAATTACAAGTTTCAACCAACATAAATGAACTGACTATAAATCC